AAAAATACTACTATTTCTTTTGTTTTTTACAGTGAAAATATTTGTAATCAAAAATATAAAATGAGCATTATGCGCTTTGTACTCTGTGTTGTAATTGAAATCAATATATTCGAAAATGTAGAAAACATCCAAAAATGTTTAAATAAATCGTATTCTACTAATTTTTTTAATCGCTTGACAGCCCTACATTATGTGACAAGAGGAGATAACTGAGGCAAAAGGGCAGGTTATTTACAGGTTGTTACATTACATTTATTTTAAAAAACATCTTTTTATGGCAAGCCAATATAACTGGATCTTAAATTTCCTTCAGTTCACACATGAATCGGATGCAAAACAGATCCCTTACCTGTACCTTGTCTGAGGAGTCTAGCAACCCAAGATCCAGGATACTGTCAGCTCCATTTTCCCGTGGGGGGGGGCAGGGAGGGGGGGGAGAAGAGGCAAGCCAAGATTTAATTTACCATTATCCATTAATAGTCACATTCTGAGCTGGAACTAGAAGAGTTATATTTTTTAATGAAAAGTCAAAATAATAAAACTAGATATGATTCTGAAAACAAAATTTAGTGAAGAAAAATTTGAAAGGAACAAGCCTGCCAATTCTTTATTATGCATGTATACAGCTGAGTTTCCTCAACCAATCTCTACAGCTGGACAGGAGGAACACTATAAGCCATTGTAACCAGGTTCTGAAAACAAACCGTGCAAAGTGCAGTTTCTTGCCAATTTGGTTTTAAAGCAAAACACAGACAAGAATACCATATTATTATTTATATTACAGTGGGACCTAGATGCATAACCAAGATAATGGTCCCATTGTGCTAGGCACTGTACATATACAGTGTAAGAAGTAGCCCTTGCCTCAAAGAGTTTACCATCTAAAAAGATGAGGTAGACATCGTGGGAAAAAGGAAGTACTTTCTTGTTTTCCAAATGGGAAACTGAGGGTACTAATATTAGGTGACTTGCCCAAGGCAAACAGGACATCTGTGACAGAGCAGGGAACTGAACCCAAATCTGCTGGGTCCTAGATCACTCTCTTAACCACAAGACCAGCCTTCCTTTTTTATCTGAATCCTGATTTAATTCTTTACCTTCCATGCGCAATAATGAGTTCCATAGCCTCATCAACTCTTGCTCTAAGGGAATCTTCACTTGCTAGTAATAGAAGCAGCTGAGCAGGGGACAACTCCAGTAGCATACCTGTGATTTTGCTTGCAAATGCCTGGAAATAAGAGTTCAAGATCTTACTGTCCAATCATTCCTTCAGAGCACTCACTTTCAAATATGGTTTTATGAAAATCTTAATATCTTAACACACCCAAGATTTAAAACAAATTTGTGAGTCAAATGACAAGTTGTAGAAATACAAAACTAGAGAAAGTCACAAACGAGATAGAAAAAAATACCCTTATAGAATTCAACTATTTTAATAAGTCATGAATTTCACAAGCAAAGGATAAAGAAAAGAAATCTTAAGTGAAAGATACCCATAGCATCAACAACAATAGACTTAAGTGTACTGCGCAGATTGGTCTTACTGGTTGCATTGCTTGTACACGAGGGTAAAGCCTTTCTCCAAGGGCCTGTCGATGTGCTGGAAGAGGATCAGGATCATCACTAGGATTCCCTTCTGAGGCTGGTCTAAAGGGCCTTGTGTCAATGGAAAGTTGTCTTCTAAAGTCCCTTTAAAAATGACAGTTTACATCCCTCTTGGTTTATATTTTGTGAAACTTGATAAGACTATGTTAGTTGCAAAGGAAACTTACAAAGCTCTTGGATAATATTATTTATGTACAGATAAAATAGTACAGACCAGTTTGTGCAATTGTAATATTCCATGTAGTTAGCTGGATATAAAGGTTTGGGAAAGGAACAGAGTTGAACTCTGTCAGTCTTTTGGGGAAGCCAGGTGGACAACCCACCAAGTAACAATGGTGTTGTTTGTAATGCATTTCTTGTCTTGGCTACTGCAATGACAGGAGTGATTTGTGAGATGGGGTTGAACAGCGATCTAGTGGTGCTGAAATGGGTGTATTCATTAGAGCATGTATTTATATACCAAATCTCAAAAAAGAATATGGAAGTTCAAAATAAGTGCTCTACTATCTTGAAAGAGAGAAGCATAGTATCCTCTCAGTTTGAAGAAAGGAGAGTCCAAATTTTAGAACAGACATTCATCTATTTCAGCAGTTATCAAACTTATTTGATCAGGCCCCCCAAATACATATACCACCACCAGCCTCTGAAGGCAAAGCAGAGAGCAGCAGTTGCTGGCTGGGCGTCCAGTTCTGAAGGCAGTGCCGCGCCAGAAGCAGCATAGAAGGATGGCAATGTGAAAACTGACATTCGTCAATATCATTTTTCACAGCAGGCTTAGCGCCCCATTGCCACCCCTACTTCTGTGCTGCTGCTGCCACCCCAAGGCTAACAGCTGGAGCCCCACCACCTCCAAGTGAGGGATGCGGGGGCAGACGGACAGCCTGAGCCTGGGCTGCCTACCCATGAGGGATTTTGGAGGGCGGGGGAGAAGAGAGAGCCGGTGCCCAAGTGGCAGGGCTTTGGCTGTCAGACCTAGGACAGCAGGACTCCAGCTGTCCCCTTTATTCCTGCCTTCTGGGTATGCACAGCTCTTCTGCATGAGGCCCAACTGCCTGGGGCTGAAAGCCAGAGCTCTTTTCAAAAAACAAAAAACCACACAGCTCACGCCTCCCTTGACACATTCCCACACCTCCCTTGGGAGGCCCGCCCCATAGTTGGAGGATCACTGACCTATTTCATAAAATACTTGTGACCAGGACATAATTACAGATAAATCACGTACCTATCCCTGTCTCTGCGAGAACCAGCTCGTAAGCCACTACTCCTCCTCATTTCCCTTTCTCGCTCCCTCTCCCGATCTCTCTCCCCTCTATTTCGCAATCTCTGCATCAGACCTGAAAAGGAAAAAAAAATGTTTTAAACTTCTCATACTTATACAATGCAGTGTACTCCAAGCTCTTTATTGCATAGCTTGCGCAGGAAAAGAGCACAATTTTAGTGGACTGGATGGCTTAGCAGATCGCAATGGAATTCAAACTTCAAAAGTTGTAAAATAAACTATTAACTAGACTGAAGTCTTATGCCAGGTATATGGTTTCAAATACTAAGGATGTGTTTTCTATGTCACAGACTAGGTGATTAAGCTGTTTCAAATGGTGGCTTCCTGTTAAAGGGTTAATCGCTATTATATGTACTCCAAGGCCTGGTCTACACTACAGCATTAGGTCGACATAAGCTGCCTTAAATCAACCTAATTATGTCAGTGTAAACACTACAGCGTTGCTCCCACCAATGCAAGTGCCCTGCTACACCAACATCATTCCACCCCCATGAGGGCTTATGTTGGTGTAGTTAAGGCGACGCAGAGTCCCTGTAGACTCTGCGTTGTTACATCTATTGGCTGTCATTCTTGTAAATTTACAAGAAAGCTGGCTCCACAGCTGGACTGCTGCCTGGTCTCTGCTCCGAGCTGGGCTGTCGTCCAGGCTCCCCATTCCCGGCGGGGAGCTGAGGGGGATGGTGCAGCCGGGTTTCCGGCAGGAAGCTGGACATGGAGCTGAGAGCCCTGGCTCTCAGTCCCCCACACTGCCACTCTTAAGTCAGGGAAAGCACTCCTGGTGAGGACGCACACCACCGACAGAAGAATGTCAGCATGGACATGAACGACCTGCAATAATTACTACAGTGCCTGGAAGATGACTTAACATAGGTTGATTTAAGTTTATAGTGTAGATATGCCCTGAGAGACTTTAATATATTGGTGTTAGGCAGAAACAGCAGTTATGGAGATTGAATGAAATATCACCTCTTCTGACTTTGTACACAAATCCAGAGCAGCTGGATGTTTCTGCTAAAGCGATCAATGAATTTTTGACATGGACTTTACGATGTTATTAGGAATCAGTTAACACATAACTAAGATAAATGGAGAAAGTTCATAAGTTCAGATCAAATGTAGAACTCTACACAAACTCCAACTAAAATGATCTGAGCAGAAGTTCTAAGAGGGATTGTGGGGAAACAGAGCCATTCTTATCATAGAATCGTAGGACTGGAAGGGACCTCGAGAGGTCATCTAGTCCAGTCCCCTGCGCTCATGGCAGGACTAAGTATTCTTCTTCTATTATCCTGGCCCCCAAATAGTGTGTAGGTGAGGAACAGCTGTACAGTGACACCAATGCCACTACTATTAAGTCCAGACTTCAGTAGTAGAGGATTAGTCTGAATCTCACAATGATGTTCTCCAGTCCTCTACGCTGCTCCAGCCACACCAAACTGTCCAAGTATAGTTGCTATGTGACGTGGTTCCATTACATTTAGGATCTTTTACCTCAGCAATGTTGGTAAGCATGCAGCTCCTAGAGTTATTTTAGTCTTCCTGAAGACTCAGCATTGCACCGGCACATGTTCAGAATCTCTAGGCAATTGCAAGAACTAAATATTCCCCTCCCCTCCATGAAAAATTTAGTTTCTGCAGAAACTGAACTTAAATTTCTACAAGAGAAGTGCTGGTATAGCATACCACTTCACTCATATCTCAGGGACGAAGTGGGACTGGATGGAATGGTCATGGGCTATAGAGCCTTTCACATTTCAGTTGTCTCTTCATGATGATATTGGCAATGTCCAAATATAGTAGATATTCATGGCTAATTTATATTCTAAGTGAAGTAAGTTGACGGTTTTGATCTGGTTCTAAGTGGACAAATATCTAGCTCTCAAAAAATACTAAATCAGTATCCCTTTTTGACAATTTTGGCCAAGAGGCCAAATTCCTTTCAGGCTGGAGGAAGTTCCTTCAGGTCAAGGCTGATGAACATTTTCAGGGAATCGAGGGGAGAAGTTATAGCCACTAATTATTTAGCTATCTTTCTGGTTTTTCTAATGTATATTAACAGAGTTAATATTCCAAAATGAAAAGTGTGTCCAAAGTTCTGATTAATGGTAGCCACGGAATACCTTCTCTATGGTACTTACTTGTATGGGTACCCTTGTTGGCATTCTGGATGCAGTCTAGGTTTGGCAGTTTCTCATTTGATAGAAAAGCCTGTGCAATGGCAGTATAAAAACTTCGTGCTACACCACTGCCTTCTCCTGGCTCATCCTTAAATGTAACTTTTACTCTGTGCACAGCCATTGGAGTTGTAGCACATCTGCGACCAAAATGATTGTTGAGCTGCCTCATCGTCTGCTGAATTAGAAGATCTCTATCTCGATCAACCTAGCAAATACATAGGCTAAATTAAGTGTTTACCCTTCTGTAATGATTGCCATAGCAAAAGATCAAATATTAATTTCAGCTTTAAATGTTATTTCAAGAGGATTTTTAGTATTTCAGAATAAAAGTTCCCATAAATACTATGTTTGGAAGGAGTCAGCAGAAGGAGGAATCCTTAACACTACACAGTAATTGCAACGCAGCACTATTCAGTGCACCAGAGTCCCCACCCTGAAAAATGTTCCAAAATGTTTGCTTACAGAGTTTGAAACATAACTTCTTATATCAAATTACTAAAACACAGATTACTGTAGTGTGTGTTAAACCTTTAACAGAATATAAAATTATAATATGACGTTTTCATTGCATTCAACTTTTAATTACGTTATAAATCAGGAAAATAAAACTAATTTTTTTACCTCCAATGTTAAATCCCTGGATTGCTGGTTTCTAAGTTTTTCCATTTCTCTGCGGAATTTTGATTCTTTTACTTCAAAGCCACCTAATTCAGTCAAGATCTTTAAAAAAACCAAAATAATAAATTAGCTGTAGAATTTAAACAAACAAAATGCAATCGACGATCTTCCACACAGAAAATACATACTGATCCAGGCTCTGCTCCAACATCTTCCATGAACACTCTGCCAAACAGTTCTAAAGAAAGGCGCCAACGTCCTAGCAACATATCATGAGAAATAACCATTCCCATGAAACTACACTGGGGCCTGGTAGAACAGGGAGAAAAAACAAACATGTAATACTTAAAAAATGCAAACACTAAGTTAACCTCTGATATTACTCAGTTGTAGATTTTTACTTTTGTTTAATCACTGCATTCAGAAGAATTCCCCGATTTTCTAGCACCTAGAAATATGAGCTTCAGGTCGGCTCATGTTCTGGTTTGAACTGAAAGTTTAAATGTAGAGGCTCAGATACCAAACATGAGATCATTTGTTGTTAAGATCTGGACAAAATTTAAACTTTAAGTGGCATTGTAAAGTATTAATGACAGCCATCACTTATAATAAAAGTTTTAAGTGATAAAACTGAAGCTACAATAAGGGATATGATTTTATTGTAAGAGCCCCTGAAAAATACAACTCAAATCAGCTCACATGCAATTTATGGCATTTCTCCTAATTAAGTAATACATAGGAGATTGAGTAGATGAGCTTTCACAAATCACTATTCATCGCACAAAGCTGGCGAGAAATACTTCAAAGCTTGCCCAATTAAATAAATCCGTGCCTACCAAGTTGGTGATCATCATTTAATTTTTTAAAATAATGGAATAAGCAGCTGTCCACTTTATGCCTAATTTTCAAATGCTTTCCAACTTCTCCAAAGAGACACCACTCTTCCTGAAATTCTGCATATCATCTCAGGATACGCTTTTTCAGGAAGTTGTGTAAAAGTCAGAGTTTTAAAGTTACGCTGTTACGAAAGTTTAGCTTTGTTTACTTCAACGTTATTTTAATACTTTTCCCCATTCATCATCTCTTCAGATGGGCTGGCCTAGAAACTCCAGATTTATTTTGCTCATCTAACTGAGAATTGCCTTTTAGGATTTGTTTTTTTTTGTTTGAGGGCATGTATGAGAGATGAATGAGGAGTGTTAGAAATTGAATTTAAGTGCAAAAAGAGCATCATTTTTAAAAAGCACTTATAGATATATAAAAAATGACTTTCTGACTCCAGCTGCTGAACTGAGCCAGAAGCAAGAGTGTGGGAGCGGAGAGGGGGCATATGGAGGGGTGACACAGAAACAATTTCAGATTTAGGAATGGAGGTTTTGGGGGGGAGGGAGGGCTCGACAGAAGGGGTCATATGTAGAGGAGAGAAAAGGTGGTGCATCATGGGAAAATGAAAGGGATAGCAGAACCATAGAGAAGAACAACACAGAAGATGGCATGGAAGTGGGTGCAGGAAAATAGGGATGTTACAGGATGCATGTTCAGGGAATCTGTCTTACTTGCCAACCCAACTTAACCGTATGGCACCCAAAACAACTACACAAACAATTCATTAACCAAAACATAACTACACCTCTACCCCGATATAACGCTGTCCTCAGGAGCCAAAAATATCTTACTGCGTTATGGGTGAAATCATGTTATATCAAACTTGCTTTGATGCGCCGGAGTGCACAGCCCCGCCCCCCTGGAGCGCTGCTTTACCGCGTTATATCCGAATTCATGTTATATTGGGGTAGAGGTTTATTTCCTAAACGAGGCTAAGGCGTGCATCAGTGGAGTCTTATCACTTAGAAAATGTATTCTGTCTTCCAAGTAATTCTTCTACTTCAAAACCCCTCAAAAATAGGAAAGTTCTGAGGTGAACCACTTTCCTCATGCCATATAGTCCTTTACTTTCTATCTGACCATGCAAGTAACTCCTCCCTACCCAGTCTCAGCAAAGCCCCCTTTGCATATATACATAAAGTTAAAATTACTAGGGGATTGGAAGATTCCTTTTCTTTATGAAGGAATCAGTTTCCAAGGTACTTTAAAATATGGTATGTTATTACTATTATTCATTACAAACAGTAAACATACTAATTTGCCATATCTACATATATTTAAATAACATATCTTGACTATATTTCATAATTCTAAGGAGAATGTTTACTTGTGCATTGGTAAAAATATTACTCAAACATAAAATGTATGGCACTCTGATCTATGTAGTTATGAAATATTTAGTTTCATATTATTTCTTATATATGTGTGTATACACACACACACACACACACACACTATTTCAGAACAGCAAAGGGGCCCAATTTAGGTTCAGTGGGGAGTTGTAACTTGCATGGTCTGATAGGAAGAAAAGGAGTACAGACGCTCCCTGGATTACGCAAGACCCAATTTACATATATTCGCACTTACGGAAAAAGTTCCATAAGCCAGAAATAGGATTTTTGAGTTGCGGAAGTTTTTGCGTAACATACAGGTATATGTTTCTGACTTACGCAAAATTTGAGTTACACAAGGTTTTCCGGAACGGAATGATTGCGTAAGTCAGGGGGTGTTTGTCTGAGCAAAGCTGCTGAATCCCTTAGCTGTTCATTTTCAAACCTTATTTATTTAATTTATCTTAAATTAATTTAAATAAATTTAAATAAAACATTTTTAAAAAACCAACCAAACAAAAACAACACGTAAGCAGAGGAATTATTCTATGGAAAGTATAACATTTTTAGGTGTTAAGCAGACTCCACTGCTACGCATTTCAACATTAACAATTTTCTAACAACATGGTTTTTGTGGATTTTTTCCCCCAAGGATGCTTTTAGTGCTTATAAAAGATGCTGGATCATTACTTTAGAGACCAAAGTCCCATCTAGAAGAGGTAGCAAAACAAACAGTGAGAGCACCAGCTTGTCCACCCTTCCTACGTACCTCAAGCTTCTCTTGTGGAGGGGACTAATAATGAAGGCAGTTGAAACTCTAAGCCCATCAAATGACCTTTGGTACCCAGCTGAGACTCTCAGTACAGATAATAATAGTGCCAATTCCTGCGTGGAACTTGGCTACCAGAAAGTCAATTAATCCTCCTCTGGATACAAACTATGTAAGAAGTAAAAGGTTTCCACCACTCCAGTTCACCCATCTTCCTTTCCACCTCTGCTCAATTGTGTGCACTACTTTGCATCCAAACCAACTTTGAAACAGTTTCAGAAGTGTCCTGAATATTTTTCAGTCTCTTAAGTACTTCCAAAAGTTTCTTACTAAAGGTTTGAAATGCCATAAGATTATATGCTAATTTAGCACTATTTTATAGAACAATTCGATTTTACTCCTTGAGTACCTGAATGATGTAAGAGGTGGCCCTTCACTCTCTGTCAGTCCTATCTCTGCCAGCAAGCTGCTTTTCAGCTGTGCTGCAAGATCATGAGCTGAAGGCCCTGGTTTTGAAGTCTCAGATTCTTCTGTTGGCACATTTTGTTCCTCTCCTTCCTTCTTTTGCCGATTTTGCATGCTCATAACATTTTTTAAATTGGCTGCATAAGACATTTTGGTTGGAAGAACCTAAACAAGGAGATGTCATTTAATTACATTTTAAAAACAGACCATGAAGTCTTTCAAATTAGACATCCTGAATAAATTAAAAAAATGAACACCGTCCTTCATGAGCAGATGAATATGCTTCTACCACAATTTCAGTGTGTAAAACTTTAGAAGACCTTTTGTATATAATTTTCCTGTTGATTTTTTTTATTTATACAGAACTGCACTTAACGTATGATAGACTTAGCGTGTTCACAGACCACACATTAGAGAATTTCAAGCACAAAGGCACTTCAAGATGGCAGCAGTTCAGACTCTGGGTGATCTTAATAGGACATTTTAGAGGTGGGAATTTTTTATTTCCTTTTCCTCTCAAATAGTCTTGATTTATTAGCATTTCATTTAAATCCCCCAAAATTACCGTAGCCTTGAAAAAATACTCAGAGCATGCATTTGATTATTAAAGATATCTGTTTAAAATAAATTGTTTTTTCAAACAGATACAAAAGTATGTTCAAAATATATATTTAAGTTTTAAAATTTTACCAGGCTATTTTAGACCCACCACTATTTTAAAAGTTATATTCATGCTTTCCCTGTGGTGAAGCATTCACAACTGTCTTATTTGTTTTAAAGGGATTACACTGTATTATTAGTTTTCATTAGTCACATACTTTGAAATAAAACAAAATTCCTACTACTGTACCTCAAGGCAGTTTCTATCCACTGTTACTTCCATTAAGCACTTCCCACTGTTGGCAGAGGATGAATATAAACCCTGACTTGGACGGCCAAATAGATCTTCTTTTCTAGCATTTGGCTGAAAATTAATAGAAGCATGCTAAGTAAATAACATACTTTAGTTAGAAATGAAAAACAAGCTACAAATAAGTGTCCTCAAGCATACAGTCTCTGGTGTCACCTGTAGAAGATGTGGCTGGTCTGCCAGGGGGATGGCTTCCGCTAGAGGAACTTCAAATGGATTGGGTGGAATACAACCAAGGAACGTCATGGAGTCTGACCGTCGGAAGAATGGATGGTTTTGGCCAGTTTCTGCTGGGAGGGAGTCATCATCCTTGTCATTAAGTGTAGCACCTAAATATCAGAAAAGTTTTTACTCTTAAAAAACCTTAGGAAAGGTTATACAAAATTTACCTTAAGGATGAGAAGTGAGGGATTTAAAAGCCAAGAAATGCCAAAGTTAAAATTAAATATACTAGAGGATCACACATTTCGTAGCTTATGTAAGCTGAACTGGCAGTTGGTGGGAGGGACAAGAACACAGTCTCCATTCTTAAACCTGTAGTAATTTTACAGGATACTGTCAGTAAACCTAAATTTTATTAAGTCCTCTGAGCTGCTCCTCTTCGTTGTTCCCCTTGACAGTGCCATTTGGTGCTGCAGGCAGAAGAGTCTGAGCAGTAGCAGTGTTATATCAGAGGTAACTCAACCAGTCACTCCTTTCATTCCCTTCAGTTACCCTAAACCTAAACTTGCTGGGCTGCTTTGGTCACCTCTCCCTTTGACTGTGGCAGCACCAAATGGGCACTGATTAGATGAATTAGAACAGTTTTGACTGGGCAAAGATAAATGATCTTACCTGAGCCAGGAATAGAGTGGAGGAGCTACAATGCAAATCCTCAGCCTCAGTTCTACTGAGCTAATGTAGCTCCTGATCTGAAGCAGCCCCTGCTCTTCCAGTCCTGAACCCCTGGGTACCCTCAATTCTGTCAAAGCACTTCAGTCCTGAGCTACAGTTTCATTTGCTAGCTCGTTTCAACCAATGGGATTGAAGTATGCAAATGAGCTGGCATGAATCAGTGAGACACATACAGACATATTACTTTAAAATAAATTCTGACAGACAATTCCTCCTTTATACTCCTGCCAAAACTCAAAATAAAGACTGCATATTTCCCCGGAGGAGCTGATAAGTATCAAAAACAGTGCATTCTTCTGCATTCCCCAAAATGTTCTTCGGTGCATGTGTCAACTCCTGCAGTGGAAACAGAACCCTAAACTTGCTGAGGGCCATATTCCGATTTTGATGAAGAAGTTCTACTGATGTCAATAGAGTTCAATTTACAGAAGAAGATTATACCCCCAAATTGTAATTTTTCTAAAAAACAAAAGCCAAAAGAACCATCTTGGACTTTCACCTGAGTATGTTCATCCAGGCCTCTTAAATTCCATCTCTTGAAAGTCACACACACAGATTGGGATCACCATGAAGAAGCCTAGCAGATCAGACTTCCTGATCTTTTTACAAATTGAATACAACAGGCAGGGAAAAGTGAAGCAACTTCCCTTAGGGTCACAAGTCAGTTGCAGGGCTGGAAATACATCCCAGATCTCCTATCTCCTCAGTCTGGAGTCATGTCAGTTGAACCACGCAATATCTAACAGGCATTTAAATGGCACCACACAGTATCTGAGCACTGGTATTTTAAATTGGGTGCAGAACAACAAGCCTGCACCTGCTCTCCCCACACTCATTCACTTGGGAAAATAATCCAAAACAATCACTCAGTTTATGGATTCTGTGCTCTTGCACAATGATACTTTCCCAGTTGTGCTAGCAACAATTTGTACCAACTTGGAGTCCTGATCAAGTTCAAACTTTTGTTGCCACTGTAAAAACATTACAGAAATATAGAAATAATTCAGCTGCAATCATCTCTCTCTACTGTGAGGGGGGCATCAAATAGGAAGACACACACACCTAGAAGACGGACATGAAATTTTGTAAAGTGATACCTGTAAGTGGATTACTACTAAAAACAAAGAGCTTTACTCCAAATATTTGTTTGTTCCATCTCACCATTTACATAGTATATTGGAGTAGCAAAATTCCCACCCAGAAAAAAAAGTGTAGTTAAAGCTTTATTAAGTTGAGCCCTGCGCAGATACAAAATTTGTATCTGCATCCAATCTGTAAAAATGGTCTGCGGATATCCACATACGCAGATATCCACATACGCAGATATCCATGGATATAAAGTGGATAGCCACAGATTTGCAGGACTCTACTATTAAGCCAAAGGGGGAAAAGCATAGAGAATGTCCCATCTTGCTATATGGCAGAAATTCTCTCTCATACTAACTTTGATTTGTGTCATCATCATTTTCATGTTCTGAATCTTCGTTGTCAAGACCCAGTTCCAAGAGCTCACGAGTCCTGTAAGAGAATAGTCAGTCCTCTTCAATAAATCATTTTGAAAATATAACACTAATATCATGCAATAAAAGTGACAGAATAATTAAAGGGTGGTTACCCTACCATACGTGTAGTTCTCTGAAGATGGTGCCCTCCTAACGTCAGCCTAACTGGCCTCCACTGTGTTACACTGGGAGTTGTCTCACAAAGTTTGAAGGCATTTCTTGACTACTCTTCGACACCCTCCCGCCCCACCCTCCACTGATACACTCCTTCTGATTAATACCTAAACTGAGCAGTAGTTTCAAAAATTCAATTTGGGGGGGAGAGAAAGAGAAGGGGTTCAATTGCGTCGTATAAAGAGAAAAGGAATTATCACTTGAGTTAGGTTACAGAAGGGTTGTACAGTGGATATCACTGTCAAAATTCTGACAGATCAGATACCTATCGGAGAAAGCTAAGCTCTATAAATCCTCTCTCTGGGACATTTTAGTACTAAAAAATTGCATCTACAGGACACAGTGAAAAATGTACTCAAAATGTACTCTTTTGGCATGTAACTTAAAAAGTATGTCAAACCAGTGGCAAATAGTTAACCTATTCGTATTAATCAATAGTAATCCTACCAATAACTTTTCAAATAACTTTCAGTCTGCAGTATGCCGAAGAAGTGGAGCTAAAATGGGGGAAGTGTGAAATGTTATAGCTTCTACCCTCTTTTTTAAATTTGAGGGAGAATTCAGAGCTCATTAAATGTACTGGATGAGAGACGTGGAAGAAGTGAACACTGAAGTAATCTACCCACAAGACAGGGTGATGCAGGAGCACAGCAGAACCTCAGAAATGGAAGTTGTTCATAATTCTGAAACATTTATAACTTTGAATAAAACATTATGGTTGTTCTCTCAAAAAATTACAACTGAATATTGACTTACTGCATCTTTGAAACTTTACTATGCAGAAGAAAAATGCTGCTTTCCCTTTATGTTATTTTTTTTTTTAGTAGTCTCTGCTGCTGCCTGCTTGTGTACTTCTGGTTCTAAATGAAGTGTGAAATTGACTGATCAGTTTGTAACTCTAGTGTTCGTAACTCTGAGGTTCTACTGTAGTATGTTTCCCAAGATGTCTTGCTGATGAACCTCAACCTTAATTAAGAGCAACTATCTCTAGGCTTGATAAGATAGTTCAGTCTCCGCACTCATTCTGTCCTCTGCCTCTAAGCAGAGACTGCCAAAAGTTTCAATTAGTGCCCATTTTGATGGCGGTGTACATGGTATGAACTGTCCTTTGTAAACTAGATAGGGATCAATAAAAACTCATTTCACACAGGCTACTGAACTGCCATCTGATGGTAATAACTGACTAGGGCTGGATTTGAATCAGTAACCTAGAAGTGAAAGGGGTCTATATATCATTAGCAAATTTGACGAGCAATCATACAGTTCTGCTATACTAATGTAGTATTTACTCTCACATGATGGAAAAATCTCATGTTCTAGGTTTTTACAGCGTACTGGTAAACAGACACCCATGAAGAATGGCGTGAATACTTCAAAACTAAAATGCATCGCATCAATGCAAAACTAAGCTCCATATTTCAAGGGAATGTTCCAATTCATAGGCAAGAGGTCATATGACATGGAGTTAGAGACCCGGATTTATGGCAACAAGTCAAACTTAAAAAGAACAGGAGTACTTGTGGCACCTTAGAGACTAACAAATTTATTTGAGCGTAAGTTTTCGTGGGCTACAGCCCACTTCTTGGGGGGGGTGGGGAGGGGTGTATGTGTGCACGCACGTACACACACACACACACACACACACACACACTTACTATATGTTCCATTCTATGCATCCAAGGAAGTGGGCTGTAGCCCACGAAAACTTATGCTCAAATAAATTTATTAGTCTCTAAGATGCCACAAGTACTCCTGTTCTTTTTGTGGATACAGACTAGCACGGCTGCTACTCTGAAACAAGTCACACTTAGGTATTCAGCAATGTCTGTCAAAGGCTTGAACCATAGTTCCCAAGTCAGAAATCAACTTGGGTAAGATACTGAAAATAAGTGTTGTGCTGATCTAGCATGACAATTTAGCAACAAATATAAAATAGAACAATAATGGCTATTTTGAGGTTGCAATTGGAGTATGTCTTGAACAAATTCAAATTCAATAAAAACAAGAACAGCCAAAACAACTCTAAAATATTCATGTCACAAGAACATCCCAACAATTAATGAACTTTGCAAGTAAATAGAAAAAGCTAAAAATGATAAAGTGCAATAATGAAAACTAAGAGCAGAATGGTACACTACAAGGACAGAGGTTTATGTTGTGTCTCCATATATCTGGCAACCATAAGGAAGTGCCAGCGACACAAAACTCAAAGGGGAAAGGGAATTGATGGGTGAAGGCTGTCATTTATACTTCCTCTAGGATGATGAATTGCTCCTTCAAATGGGAGATTTCTAAAAAAAATACCTATTAGGTTTGAAAGCCAACTCTTTATTCTGCACTGGAGGCTACATGACCCAAGTAGTGAGAGGTCAATAGAGAACACTCACCTTTGGAAAGTATTTAACTATTATTAAATGCCAACATTTCTAATTACTACTCTTCTGTCAAGCAGTGAGACTGAACAGCCATTAAAGAAAGCCACACAGGCACCTGGAAGGCAGAGATCTCTAATATAATGACATTTCCTACTACTAACAGTTAGCCATATGCTTATATTGGTTGGTTTTTGGCTCCAGTTCCTGAAAACATTTTTGTATCAATACCTTGTACTAACTATGTGGTGCTTCTCTAATGTGCCTTATGTCTAATGTGCCTGGAATTAACTGCTGTGCAAATTGTGTCAGTGTCACATGGATCTATCTAATGCCACAAACCATTCTTAAAGGTCAGGTAGATTATTCAGTATCTCTTAGCACAATTAAAGCTAGCGGAACATTACAGCAGCTTGGCAAAGTTCTACTTGACCAGGGCATTATTTTTTAAAGTAAAATATTTTTTCATCACCACCATCATGAGAAAGATGTGGAGTAGACTTTACAAGGGTGATTTAAGGATGCTTCAAGGTTTTGTATATTTGCTTCAGTGACCATAAATGCATTTTACCACAGACAGCATGCTCAGCTTAGGACACGGTGCAGAGGTGAGCACAATGATTGCCAAGCATTGCTACCACAAAAGAACAAATCTTTTGAATTTTCAAGCTCACAGCACACTAGATTTCTGCCGCTCTAGTAAGGATTTGTTTGCTAGAGTTGGCTTAATTACCTTTTCCGTTCCAGCTGAGGAGTGTCCAATGTTGTCTGTTGGTTCATTGCTTTAATCCAATAAATAAGGGCCTGAAAAACATATGCTACGTGCTTCAGTGAGCAGACATCCAGAACAGGAAGAACATCTGAGTGCTCATCATTGTGAGAACGCATCAGAGAGAGGGCATAATTTAGAAAGTCTCCACGTGCTGACATCATTCCTTGACGGGCACTGAGCAAAGTAGCACGCCTGTTAGGGAAAAAATTGATATATTAGATAGCACAGTGGTAAGGTAAGGTGCTTAGATAGCACAGTGGTAAGGTGCCTTAGAAATTCTCACGTAAGTTATGTAAAGTATATGAATGTATATCCTCTAATACCTGTAATTCAAAGATACTGCAATACTGCCAGTATTGGGAAATGAAGTACAATAATTAAAACACAAAACCTTAAGTTTAATATGTATAAATAGCCAAATGATTAAATTTATGACTCTTGCATTTAAGAAAGGTTATGAATTTTAGGGTTATGACAAAAATCAGTCCAGTTATCAGCAAGGAAAGTTATCATTTACCAAAATATATATTCATATTGAAGACAGTAGCAATAATTAAGGAAGCCTCCTGTTACATTACAAAAATAGTTACACATCTATGCTTGAAGTCCAGGTTCCCAAAATGTCCCAGTGAGTAAAAAGGGTCAAGTACAAAATGAACAAATGAAATTTCACACCTTCTACCCTCAAGTGTTCTTAAACTAGCCTCCTCACGTGCTGTCATCCTCTCCCTTCTCGTTGAGTTCTGGGAAGCATGCAGGGGATGGTTTGGATGTCCAGGGTCACCAGCAGATGCTAGTGCAGAACCATAACGCAGTTGAGCTTCAGTGGAGTCCATGATGCTAACCATCCAATTCCAAGTGGGAATAAGCTTTTCCTCTACATAGTTCTGAACAAAGATGAGACATAATGAGTTAGCGGCATCACAAGGAAAAACAGAAAGGAAGGCAATTAAAGTATGAGATATTGACACGACATCTTTAATTCACTCGGATTTACTGTAAATACTTAAATCTCTCTATCATCTTCCATCTCTCTCCATGAAAACTCCCACTCCTGGAGAAGGTTATGAAAGCCGCCAGAAAGATCCATTCTGCTGTTAGCTGCTTCCCATAAACATCACTACTATAAAGAAGCCTGGAGCTCCCACTGTGCAACACCTCCTTACTCACCACCTTGGAATCTCTCAAGATAATCTTCACCAAACACTCAAATCTTGGAGATCCCCATCTTATGTCATTCGATATTGATCGCACACAACCCACCTCACAGATGCATATTTTTCAGAGTTCCATCCAAACTCAGATATTTCTGTTGCTTTGTAAGAACCATCTTCCCCTTCCAATCTCCCTCTCTTCTGTTGACTCCACAATCTTTATATTCAACTCCGCTTTACCACTGTGCACTTGAGTCTTTGACTCTACCCTACAGCTCTGTGCTGTCATTTTCTAACCCCTCAATCTGTTCCCTTGATCCCACTCCACCTAATGTCGCATTCCCTTATTCACTGCCCTCCTCTTCTTCAAGCTCCCTCCCTGCAGACTTCAAACATGTTCTTGTACCTGTTATGTAATAGGACCCTCCCCTTGACCTCATTTGTGTATCCAAACAACAGCCCAACTCAAAAACTCCTCAAGTCTGATCTATATACTCACTGCCTGACTAAGTCATTTCTACATCACTTGAATGGCCCACCACTATTGCAAACTCAATAGTCAAAACTGTAGCCTTCCCAAAACATCTCAGTTCACTGTAAACAACTTCATCATCCTACTGAGTTTCACCATATTAGTGCAATATTCAACTTCTCTCTGGCCTCCCCCGCACCCAACCACACTATTATAAGGTCCTCGCTTTTCTTCTGATCCATTTATAATGGCACCAATCATCAAAGTACCTAAGCATTGTTTCTCCTCCACAACTAAGAGAGTCAGCTTTCTCCTCTCGTGTCCCACTATAGTAACACCTTTCCACACCATGAGCATCTTTTGCCTCAATTTCTGAAGCTCTCATCTCTGTAGTCCCAATATCCCACCACACTGCACTGTGGCTTATAGAAGATAGCATAGCTAAAAATCATCTTACTCTCCAGCTCCTCATATAGTGTCACTCCTCTCTGTGACTTCCTCTCACCTTTTGTATCAAGTTCCTCATCTTCATCTCCAAATTACTGCTCCCTATTCCCTTTGCCTATGTTCCTCAAGCCTTCCTCCTGGAAGCCCCAAGTCTATTTTCCAACCATTCTTTAAGTCTTCTTCCATGGTGCCTCTCAGACATTGAACTCCCTTTCTCCCCACGTGACAGCTGTCATCCTTCTACCCTTTCAAATTCTTCCTTATAGCTCACTTCTTCTATGAGTACCACCAAAAACTGATGTGCAACGCTCCAGGGCCTAAATTAAACCTGCAACATCAGGGAGACCTGAGGAGTAGAACACTGAATGGATCTCTCAGAGTAAAGACCTAAGTGGATGGCTGAGGGAGGATAAGGAGTTGGTCCTGAAGAGATGTTCCCTGAACAGGGGCAGAACTCACAAGCAGGGAAGCCTGGGGAATGGAACATTGTGGGGAACTCTCTTACAGGACACCTGACTTGGGGGCAGAGGCAAGAGTCAGGAGACTTGCCTGGAGAGTGGGGCCCTGGCGCAGAGACTAAAGGAACTGGGAACACAATGCTGCTATTGACTCTTGAGTTGGTGACCTGGAGTGTTCTCCTTGAAGAGGGTAGTGGAAAAAAAACAACTGTTGTTTCTACATATGTTTATCATGGGTTTGTGCCTGCATAGGTTGACTGAGTTTGTTGAGAATGATTTTACTGCAAGGTGTTTTGTTTGGAGGAAGGGGAGGGGAACTACTGCATTGGTGTACACTAATTATGCCCAGAGGTGAGTTTTGCAAGCCATAATACATTATTTCAAAGCATTCGAACATGGACGGAGGGAGTTATAAAAATGCCGAGTAGCAATAACGCAAAGTTTGTGGACACAATTGCAACTCTAAGATCTAAAAAAAATTTACCCTAAATGGTTTTACAGAGAGATTAGATTACTCTGTGTGAAATATGGATAATCCAACATGTTAAAAACATTTAAAGTTCTACAACAATTAACTGGAATGCAAATACAGGTATTTTATTTAAAAAAAAAGTTAGCACTGAAACTTTTGTTTCTAGATGTCTAGAATGTTCTAGTTGCACAATACCTGCAAGTTTACTGCATCCTGATACGTCAGTTTCACTGCAGCAGGGATCTGGGAGTATACCAGATGATTGTATTTGGGAATCAAACCCATCAAATCAGATATCTGTCGGATCACAATACTGTATGCCCTCGCTAAGCTGCTCGCAGATGTTAAATAGCTGCTTGCATTGCTAGCTTCTAAAGCTGCAGCTGCTGCTGCAGCACTTGTGCTGATGGTGCCGCTTCGACGTAAGTTCGATGGATCAATATAAATCAAACCTGCTGAACTTGCTAAAGAGAAGAGAAAGTAGGACACCATTAATGATTTTATATACCCTTTACTAATTCTTGTGTTTGACAACAGAAAAAGTTATTAAAATAAACTAAACTTTTAGTGATTAAACATGAATAATGTACCTGTACTGGCCCTGCAGCTCTAACTAATAAAACTTAATACTAATACCTTCTTGGAGCAGGAGTAAATACTGTATTCTACTAATTTCTTAACTAAAGCTTAAACAGGGAAAGCACTAAGACTGCGCATGTTTCTCTTAAGCTAAAGCAAAAAGATAATATGTGGTAAAAAAAACGTACTTAACATTTAATCCTATGGGCTGGTCTACACTAATGCTGTAAGTTGACCTATGTTACACTACTGCAGTTCTGTAAGTTATGTAACTGAAGTCCACATAACTTAGGGTCAACTTACAGCAGTGTCTACACTGCGCTATGTTGACTGGAGACGCTCTCCCGCCAACTTACATTCCGCCTCTCGGGGAGGTCGAGTACAGATGTCGACGGGAGAGCACTCTGCCATCAGCTTATCTTGTCTTCACCAAACCTGCTAAATTGACACCGCTGCATAGATCGCAGCACTGCCGATTTAGCAGGAAGCATAGACAAGTCTTATTAAACAGCAAAAACAAAGAACAAAACCATTTATAAATGATGTACATGCATTCCCTTTGCTGAGACTTGCCTGCTGGGGCAGATGTGCTTGATGGAGCCGTGCTAGTTGTTCTCTGATTCTGGGTGTTACGTACAGCCCACTGCATTGAACGGGGAGCTTGGGCAGCACCATTGGCATGAGAGCTATTTGTGGTTCGCTCTAGAGGCTCATCAAGCATGAAGGTCTCCTGCTCTATGTCATCACTCTGGCTACTGCTGCTGTCTGAATCACTGGAGTCATTTGACTGAGAATCATCCTCAGAAAAAAATGCGGGAACACTGCTAGCACCTATGTAGGAAAATAGTGTTTATTGTAATTCACTTATAAGCAGTGATGCAGTCAGACTATTGTACATATATAATAAGTGTTTGAAAACTTCTTCCTGAAAAACAACTATAATTGTAACATTCAAGTACCATGCTTACAGAACATCCAGAAATGCATTCTAACAAATTGTCCTTAAAATACTAGTGTTAACTTTCCACGACAGTTTTATGGAAAGGCAATCAAATTAGTTTTACTTATGTTTTGAAAGACAGTTAAATGATTAAGGAACATTTTAATTAAAACCACAGTCCGTTTTCAGTAACAGTAATAGAGCAGAAAGTCAATGTACAAGTTTGACCTTCAGAGGACTTCAACTCTGATTTAGAAGGATCCTGCTCCCAAACAAGAAGGCAGAACAGTTGCTCTCAAAAATACTTAAAAGTAGTGTTCAAGTTACATAGGGAAAAGAAATATTAAAACATTTTAAGCTGACTTTTACAACACTCCCAGGTATTTTCACACTGATGCTAACAACAGCTGCGCAGCAACAGAACATGGGCTCTTGTAGTATGGCTTTCTACCTATTTCTCTTAAGAGGGCTGCACACTGACCTCTTAATATAGACAAATCCAAACATTAAGTGAGAAAAACAGAGGAGGAGAAGCTTTAGAGAGAGGATTACAGGAGGAAAAGTCTCATTTAAGTGCTAAGGGTTTCCCCTACAAATTGGGGGCAGAACTAACTATTTCCCCACATTTCTCCTGCATTTGTTCTCTGCCGTTTACTGCCCTTGGCACTAGGCAGCATGTGACCCTTCAAAGATTTTGTACTAGAAGCTGACAAGTAAAGTCTCTCCCAACCTGTATTTAATCAGTTAGATACTTTCCTTTATCACATATGCCTAAATCCTGGCTTCCAAGTTTAAATAAAGAACGATGCAAGAGTGGATGAAATGGTGTACCTGCTTCTGATCCCGCAGTAGCTGCAGTGACAACACTTCTACGCCCGCTAGCATTGTCCTGATTGCTGTGGTTACTCTCACTGTCACTTTCTGTTTCAGCTGCTGCTAGTAGATCCAGCTCCATGTCACTGCCTGTAAAAATGAAAAAATACAATATTAACATCTAATGCTTACAGAAAAATAATTTTATATCAAAGGAATTTGTGTAGTCCTGTATATGTATTACACCTCACGCTTATAACAGAGTACTAAGCATCTTAAAGCCATCTCACTTCTACACTTTTATTTCTTCTAAGTTTTGAGAATTAAGAACTCATTAAGAACTCAAGCCACAAGATTCTACATTTAAAGTGGCACTTACAGCCTTAATTCTGCTCCCTGTGCATATGTATTACATAGCCTTTAATTACGGGATCATGTTCTGTTTCAAGAAATAAAATGTACATATAAAAACTGAACATCTTGGGAGCCGCTGAAGCCTTCAGGTAATCAGAATTTGATAGTTTCTAGTCACATTTCAGTTTTGGACAAACCCAAATCTGGATAATCAGGATTACCTGCAAATAAAATGGTTCAAAAGGAAAAGCCAGGGCAATCCTACCTTTAGGAACATAGAAAATGCCATATTTCATCAGACCTTTGGTCCAGCTAGGCTGGCATACGGTCTCTGACAATGGCTGGTACCAGACAATTCAGACAAAAGAGCAGCAGTCCCCATAATAGACAATTATGGAAAAGTTTGCCATAGGAAGAAATCTTTCCTAACCTAACACAGTTTGTGGTTGTCTTAAGACCTCAAATATAAAAGGTTAATATCCCTCTTTTTTTTCCTATCTGATATAAATGTATGTTAGCAGTTCAAATTATTCTTTCCAACCTGTATTACTAAGCATTTGGCAATACTGTATTTTGTTTGACATCATGCTATTCATTTGTCTCACTTTGTTATGTCTCACCAGTAGTCCTGTCTTCTCTAGTCTTGACCAACCTAAATAATTGGGTCATCTAAAATTTTTGCCATCTCCCTGTTCACTCCACTTATTACATCATTAATAATTGTACTGAATAAAAACCGGTCCTTTTATGAATCCTTGGGGCACCCCACCTAATCTTTTTTATTTAATACTGACTATTTCTACTCATTTTTTAATCTATGCTAGTTTCTAGCCCGTAACTCTTGTGAAGGACTTTGTTCAAATGCTTTTTGAAATTTCAAATAAATTATATAAATCAGTTTTTTTTTCCCCTACTATTTTGCTGACATGCTAAAAAGAATTGTTGTATATTGGAGAGGCATGACTTTCCTTTGCAAAAGTCCCTTTCACATCTTGTTCCTCTAAGTGTTCTATAACTCTCTATAATGGGTGTTTCAAACAGTTTATCGAATATTGAAGTAAGTCTCACTGTTCTGTAATTTCCATGAGCTTCCACAGCATCCTTGTAAAAAAAGGGGTACAGCACTTGCTATCCTCTAGGATAGCAACTGATTTTAATGTGAAACTGAGTACCTTTATTAGCAATTCAATCATTTCATTCTGAAGTTCCTTCAGAACTCTTGGATCATCATCATCAGGGCCTAGAGGGATTTGTTAGTCTTTAACTGTCAATTTGTTCCATCACTTTGAAACCTCAATCTGTCAGTGTCTGATTTATTAGCTGAAAAGCGAAGCTATGAAGTCTGTATTGCCTCAAAATTCTGTGGTGAAGACCAATGCTAAGAAGCCATTAGCTTCTTTGCAATACCTTAGCCTCCTTAATTGCTCCCTTTATTCCTTGGTAGTTCAGCAAACTCATCTATTCTTTCACAGGCTTCCTGGCTCTGATGTATTTAAATTTTAATTTATTACTTTCTTTATGCTGTATTATTGCTGGAGCATTAGCAGCTGCTATTCATACCTACATTATGCTTTTAGATATACATAAAAATAACATGCATCTGTTTTTCTTTGGGAGGGGACTTGTTAACTGTAACGGTTTGTCCAGAATCTTGTCTTTTAAAGGGGTGGGGGAGGGAAGAAGAGGAAGGAGAGATGCTCCTTTTGCATTATGGATAAAATTGTTAATAAAGTAACAGTATATGAATGAAAAGTGTATACCGTCTTCATCATGCTCATCATGTTGTCCTTCTGCTTCAGCATTTTCTTCTCCATGTTCTTCTTGTTCATCATGGTGGTCTTCTTCTCCAGCTACTCCCTCAACCACTTCAACCTGGAAAATGCTTTTTATTTTTATGCTGTAAAATGTATATTTATCTTAGTTCTGTTCAAGTACAAGCTGTCTGCACTATGATTCCAAGAACAAAATTCTGGAAAGAGCAAAGTGACAATTCTGTTTCCTGCAGCAATACTAGTATAAACTGAGCATACAATTCAGATAGAGGTGAGGAGGAGAAAGGCATTTATTTGCCCTAGTTTGTGTGGCAGCTCATTTGACAGTTCACAAATGAAGTGTTATGAAACAGACAAGGCACCCAAACATAAAGTTGCCTTGGACATCAGAACCTAATATTGAAAGGGAAATGTTGGCCACGAACACCAGGATTAACTAATTCTTTCTGAGTTTCTATATGTATTTATATTCATTTTTTATCATCCACCTAGAAAACTACAAAGGAACTTATCCAAAGGAAAAACATCTCTTGGTGGACCTATGCTCTGAAATCTACCATATGTTAACGTATTTTTACAACAAAATATCACCCAACATACTTGAAACATGCAGCATGTAAAGGACTTCATGTTACTTTAACAGTGTTCTGAATCATGTTCTAGTTTTGTAAAATTCAAACTTAAGAACATGTTTACACCACCATTCAGTCCAATCCTATTTCCATAGCAAGACTGAACCATGTTGTAATCACGTCAGGCACTACTGTCTTGTAACGCAGAGCTTCACCACACTTTTTTCATGTGTATAGCAGACCTTACTTGCAGCATTCCTGGAGGCCACTGCAGTCTCAATACCATGTATATGCTCAAGTTCTGAATTAATGACTTCCTAGCTCAGAGATGAGTGCCACTGATTATTATTCACTGATATTTAAACAGCAAAATGCACATGATGTATCAAATTGAGAAAAATTAAGAAAGTAACCTCTTCCACATCTGCTGATACAATATCATCTTGCTCTTCATCTCTGCCACGAACTGGCTGTGACTGGCTGATCCGTCTCTGCTGAGGATTCCTTATAATGTAGGAGGACTGAGACTGACTGGAACTACAATAAAATAGAAACGTAAGTAAACTACTGCAACAGAAAAAATTACAGTATAAATATTTTTAACTAAGTAGTAGTCATTCACTTCCCTTCTCACAACAACAGAGCTAATCTAAAAATCTAGTGGAAGTGTGAGGATGGAAGAACAAAACGACTTCCTTAGATTTACTATCAAATTAGGAGGACCAGCTTTTTCCTTTCCTTTCTTCCAAATGAGAAAAACACTTTCAAATTAGACTAAAATGGAGTTAGATTGTCACTTACTCAGCACATGTTCATCTTTCCATAAACACCCCCAAACAGCAGCAATTAATCAGTGTGTTCATGTATGCGAGAGGGGATGACAGCACTAGTCAGTGAAGAAAGGAAAGTACCATGGGCACTGGCAAATTGCTACTTTTACCCAGCCATTAGCACTTCTCCAGTACTGCTGAACACTAGCATTTTTTCTATTTATCTTCTGGCTAAAGTTACTTGATCCAGTGTCTCGCTCTGTGAATGAGTTTCAATATCATTACCCCTTACTGCACTTGGGCTGGAATCAGACTGTCTTCATCTCTCTGTGTTTCCAATATGGTCAGAGATTTGCTCTCATGCTCATTGGGGGTCTCCAGCAGCAGTTGCATTTCTCTAGACCAGTGGTTCTTAACCTGGGGTGCACGCACCCTAGGGGGGCACGCGATGCCCTTTCAGGGGGGTGCAAGACATGCCAGATTTTTTTAGAAGGTAAATAATCGAAAACACAAATTAAGCACATTTATTTATTAACATTATACAAAAGATAGTTCTCGCTCTTTTATTCTATAGTTATGATATATCTTGGTTTAAAGAACTGACCTACTTCAACGATTTTTTATAAGGGGTGAGAAGATATTTTGAGAACCAAAGGGGTACAGGCTGCAGTAAAGGTTAAGAACCACTGCTCTAGACTCAGCCAAACAACACCAGATTACCCTCAGAACAACTGATTATGGTTTTTCCCACCTCCCACACATTGTAAAAAGCATCCTGTATTCACACACTCACAGGTCCAGATGCGAAGTACACAGACCTGTTATTCTTTTATTATGTTCCGGTGGATGCTGCCACACAATTTTTTGTGATTTATATACTCATGGCCAAGTATTCTGGCAACATTTTACTTGTAATATGGAGCGTTTACATTCTGCTACTAAATATATAAAATGATTCTTTAAAGAACATTCCAAAACCATATTTTAGCAAGCACATGACGAGATGAATAGAATAAGTAGTTAACTTTACCTGCTAGACTGATCAGATGATGGTCTTGGTGGTAGAGGCTCCACAGAGAATAGTTCTTCACTGCCTTGCATGGCATCTATACTAGTGCTAGCAAGAGTAAATGGTGCAGTAGGACGCGCAATACCCATCCTGACTGGAATAATTAGGGATTCCGCTACATTACACAACTCCTCCACAGCATAGGGTAACAATGCTTGGAATACACGTTTACATTTTCCAATTGGTTGTGGAATGAAGTTGCTAGAAAAAAAATTGTGGAAAGAAGAATCAAATAGGTCATCTTTTGAAAAGTGTTTATAAGATATATATGGGTAAAAATTATTAACCAATGACAGAATATGAGACAATATATGTGTAATGCATTCTCAAAACAAAAAGCAAAACATTCAGTTACACGACAAGCGAAGCTACAGAAATTGCAATAATTTATGATGATGTTGGTCAAAAGAGGGTTAGAATTAGAGCTACTGGGAGAACTGCCTTCCCATCCTTTTCAGAGATTTCCAAACTTTTCCTGTTCTGCAACAGGACAAAACAAACAAACAAAAAACAACAAAGACTCTCACACCTCTCCCAGAACAGCCAACAACATGGGGATTAAGGCATTAACATGAGATGAGGGATGTATAGGTTCAAATCACTGCTTTGCCAGTCTCCTTCATCCCAAGTCAGCATCCTAACCAACAGCCAATAGCTATTCTGAAGTATGGGGTCTCAGTCTTTTCTGTTGGAATAGTTCTACTTTGTAGACATTTCCACTGGAGCAGGTACTTCAACTTAAGTCTCCCACATCCCAGATGAGCACCAATCACTGAATGTTCTGGGGTGGGTGAGCCTGCCAGCCTCCCTCCCTCCACCAACAAAAAGTTTGCTTTAGCTTTTATCGGCATTTATTGAAAAATTCTCAACTAGTTCTAGTTCAACTACTTCTTGTTAATGCCTCAAAAATGAGGCAGCACATACAAGTGTACTGTTGACAGAACAAAGTTGGTCAAGGCAGTACATTTTGTATAAAAAACAAGCCATTCAACATTAAAATGTAAGGTTCCTTTTATATCTTAACTAAAGTAAGTTCAGCACGCAATTTATAAAAGCTGAGGTCCAGTGCAGCACTGTGGATAGGGCCATGTGTGATGTAAACTTCACAGTTCCACCAACACACCTCATTTTTTATCTGTGACACCTGACATAAGTCTGGAGACACTACAAGAAACTGCCAATTGTGCTGAACTGTGTGACTATGTTATGTATGTTGTTGTAGCTGTGTTGGTATTAGAGATATTAGAGAAACAAGGTGGGTGAGGTCATATCTTTTACTGGACCAACTTCTGTGGGTGAAAGAGCTACACAGAGCTCTTGTTCAGGTCTGTGTAACTTGAAAGCTTGAAAGAGAAGTCGGTCCAAAAAAAGATATCACCTCACCCACCTTATCTCTTTAAGTATGCTATGGGAAAATAGAGACTAAAATAAGAGAGTCAAACCATTCCTTTTTATATGGAACTTAAATATCATTTGAATCCAGATCTCCAAAAGTAAAAAGTTAGTTTCAGAAGCCTTATGCATCACCTACTCCCACAAAACCGTTTTAGTGTTTTCTTTATTAATGACCAACACCAGTTCATACACATCCAGTTAAGTAATAAGTAAAACAACCCTTACTTTTTCTTTTTGGATGAAGCCATTTCGACACTAAGAATAACAAAAACTCTTGCCACAGAACGCAGAAATCTCATTGTAACGGCAATAGCTTCTTCTCTGCGCCCTGGAGTGTATTTATTTTGTAGCTCCTTTACAAGAGTACCCAGCAAAGTATCTAAAAGCTATGGAAATAACATTATAATATATTATTTATGTGGTAAGGAATCACACTAGAAATGCTTAATGCATTTTGTTTCAAGTGTCTACATTAAAGATTCACAGAAAACTGGTATCTAAAAATGTGCTAGTTCCTTAATGTAAAAAAAGGCATATTTAGTAGATCACGTAAGAGCAGAATTGGGTGGAAAATCCCATGCCTTATATTTGAAACTGAATTAAAAACCAACTCTTAAACTTGTATCTAATGGATATTGCATGATGTACAAAATTAATTTAAAACATGGCTAAGAGTGCTTACCAAAATGTCTGCTGTGCACTTGACAATAAGGCAATGTGTAAAGCAGTCCAACCGAATTGTACCACTTTGCTGATTAAGGTAAACTTGTTCTTCAGGCAAAAGATGACCTATTCTACTGCTTGCACTAAGACTTGGAAAAAACAAAGCAAAATGAAAAAAATTTATATAAGTTGACAGATCTCAAAAACAACAGTTTAAAAAAATTAATTGAAACAATATTTGCAAATACACACGGGTCTTTATTCTCCTGGGAGCCAAACATGATCATAGATTTCAGCGCATTCCAATCTTGTAAAACACGTTCCAAAGCAAGCTGAGCAAATCGTGGAGGTTCTAAATCGTGATCAGGCATATCAGAATCTAAAGAGAAAAAAAAAAGGCCAGAGTGGCATGTGAGAAAGGTAGTGAAATGCAGAGACCTACATAGTCTTCTTTTCATTGAAAAAAAGGCTCACCTTCAGGATTTGCAGTTTTACGATTACGATCTTCCCTAATTCTAGGTGGTCTGTACTGGCAGTGTTCTACAGTTTGCCTGGCAACTGTCTGTACTAAGAATAATAGAAGGTGTTCCCCCCTGTAATGCAGAATACATTAGTAAGAAAAATATTTAAAAACAAACCTGTCATATATATTATTCCTTCCACTCCCCCGCCCCAAGTCACTACAAATACAAACTTACCTGCTATTTGGCATTGTGACCAGATTTGTAGTGGTAAGCAGTCTGTAAAGTAGATCAAGACGAGCAGACTTCTGTCCTGCAATTAATGTTTTACACTTGCATTTTTCCCAGCAATCACAGTAGGCTGTTGGGGATGTTCGCTTGAGCCTGAAATAAATAAAAATCTTTAACATCACTGTTCAGAAATTCATTTTTAAAATATTTACTGAAAGAGGCTTTTGGGTTTTTTTTTTTTAAATAAATTTTGTTTTCTACTACAAACTTTTTGAAATAACAGCAAACAAAACAAAACACTCATTTAAGAGAAAAAAAATTACAATTCCTAAATAACTCAACTTCAGTTTATTGGTGTTCTGTCCTACTATTGATTTAGCGTGACAGTTTCACTATATAACATTTCACATTTCAGATAGCTTTTTTTAAAAAAAAGCAAAAGGGATCTCCAAAGCATCAAAAAGTTAAACGGAAATCTTTCTTTCCTACTGAAGAAAAATCAAAGATACTTAAAAATTACAAGCACATCTTTGTGGGTATAAGATGATAACTTGTTAGTTTACAGATGTTTGATATTAACACAGCTGAACTTAAGCTGTTTAATGAAGTTACCTAGACTGTAGCTTCAAATTTGTACCAATCAAATATTTTGGATGTATATTTGGTTTCTAGCTCATTTATCCCTTGCTCAGGGCTAGTTTTTAGAGGGAGCATACATTAAATTTGTTTTGATGCTTGATAGCTTTGGTTCACATTTTATCACTATAGAAGCAAACTTTTGAGGTTGTGGTTGAATATGCTAACCATTTACTCTGTATATCACTGCCTCCAGTCAAATAGCAGAAAGACTAAAAACATTTATGGATATAGACTGGTTCATATTAAGTTAATTTTTAATAGTTTATTAATTTGCAAGTATTTTGTAGCATAAGCTAATGAATAGGAAGCAACAACTAATCAGAAGTGAAAGCAATTAGTGAATGGAACCAATTAAGACATCAGTTTGACTGTAAGATAGTGAACTCAGTGTGTACTTACTTGCAATCATGACCTTTGTGACAAACCCGTGCACATTCTGTGCAACAACAAAGAGATTCCAGTAAGCCACATGTTCGGCATTCAAAAATATCCTAAAATGAAAAAAAAACACCATTTTATAAACATGAAGTTATATGCATAATCTCCCCCTCACAATGGATATCTAGTATAAATATTCACATATTATATTAATTCAATACAATATCAAAAATGTAGGGCTGAAAGAGACCTCAAAAGTTCATCTGCTCCGCCTCCATCTTCTACAATGATACAGGATTAAGTATATTACAGTATACTTAAATACAGTAAAAGATGCTTTATGTGGCATGTTGCGGGAATGAGGGGTGCCAGTAAGTGAAAAATGACAGTTAACTAAGAGGGAGGGAGTTTGGGTGCAGGAGGGGGCTCGGGGAAATGGGCTGGGGCATGGGAGGGGGTGCTGGGTGCTGGATCCATGCAGGGCAGGGGGAAGGTGCTCACCTCGGGTGGCTCCCTGCAAGTGGTGACCTGTCCCGGCTGCTCCTAGGCAAAGGCAGGCAGGCAGCTCCACGCGCTGCCTCTGCCCACAGGCGCCGCCCCCGCAGCTCCCATTGGCCATGGTTCCCAGCCAATGGGAGCTGCGAAGCTAGTGCTCAAGGCAGGGGCAGCACACAGAGCTAAATGCCATGCCTCCGCCTAGGAGCAGCCGAGACAGGTCACTGCTTACAGGGAGCCGCCCGAGGTGAGCACCCCCCAGATCCGGCACCCAGCACCCCCTCCTGCACCCCAATCTACTGCCCTGAGTCTCCTCCCGCACCCAAACTCCCTCCCAGAGCCCGCACCCCACCCCCCCTGCCAGACTATAAATCCCCTGACTGACTATAAACCGGAATTTCAGTGAAGATCAGAAATGCCAGTTTATAGAGCTTTCCAGTTGGTGAAGCGCTGAATAAAAGAGCTTTTACTGTATTCCTTTGGTATTCTTTCAGTAAAAGTGAAGCTTTTAATAAATAATAAATAATATAATAATATATGGAGATATACCTATCTCAGAACTGGAAGGTACCCTGAAAGGTCATCAAGTCCTGCCGCCTGCCTTCACTAGCAGTACCAAGTACTGATTTTGCCCCAGATTCTTAAGCGGCCCCCTCAAGGATTGAACTCACAACCCTGGGTTTAGCAGGCCAATGCTCAAACCACTGAGCTATCCCTCCCCAGTATTAAAACTCAATGTCAAACTAAGGCAAGACTGAGCAACAGGACAGTTCTGGGAGAATAAAAGCAAGCTGAAAGGAAGACAAGCTCCATTTTTAGAGCTGCATTAAGGCTTAAATGGTGGCTGTAGTGGCCCCACGGTAAAAATGGACTTTAAAAGTTGCTGAGTAGGTTCATTTATGTTGGTTAATCAAAGCCTGCAATGCCTCTAAAATCTTGCTTTTAAAAATATTCCTTTAACACACAATAGAACTACTGTGAAACACTTCTGCTAGTTAATCTGTCAGACTATAGAATACTCTGCTCACCTACAAATCTATGTCCAAGCTGTTCAGGGAAACAGCCCTAGAACTCTACTAGCAACAAGGTTTTGACCAAAACCGGCTACCTATTTATGTTTTCCATTTTGAGAAGTGGAAATAGATAAAGACGACTATAGCACAACTCCAAACTGCTAAAATGAATTAACAGATGAAGTTCATCTATACAAGAATAGGGCCAGTGGTGTTCAGTAACACTAACTCTAAAGTACAGACAATGCATAGTTGAAACACATTCCCATTTAACTTATTAAAAAGTGTTTAATTTACCTGATTAATGTGCTCTGCCCCAGTCCACGTAAAGCTGCATGTATCATTACAACACAGGACATATAAAGGAGAATCATCTGGGTTTGTGCCAGATGGGCAAACCATTCCCATGAACACATCTTCCTCTTTTTCACTAGAAGTTGCCTCCGCTAGAAAAATTCAAGCATAAAAGTGTTTTAAAGCAAAGTTTTTCATAGTAAAATCAATTTTAAAAGAGTTAAAAATATGAATGATAAAATGCTCTCAATAATATTTAGAAGACTTTTTCCCCAACACACTATAGGTCTTCCCTGCAAAGAACACCTGCAGATAACTACAATAGGAAGTTAAGCAGGTGCCTAAGTCTTTTCAGGAATGGGACCTAAATATGTGTACAGTTGCATCATATACTGTATTCCAAACCAGAAAGAATAAACTTAAGTAGTGGATCAAGTGATCCATTTATATTACAGGAGTACTGTGATGTTTAAATCATTTAACATTTTGAGAATACTATCTTAATTCATTAGTGTTCGTAAAGCAACAGATCCTTGAATGAAAGGCCTTGTATAGAGCAAAGTAGTAATATTAACAAAACTCCATTGCTACTATTAATACACATATCAGTACATGTTCTCAAATAGCAAATTATCCATGACACAGGCACCATATTTTGGGTGGGGGTAAATTTTGAACACCAGCATTTACTCAAACATATGCAACTTTACATAAAAGAATGTTCGTTAGTTATACATTCAATTACTGTCTTTGTATGTATGCCAAAATTAAAAAACGGAAACAGCTCTGTATGCATAAAACATTTTTGAAACTCATTTACCTTTGGCAATTTTCTGTGCAGTTTCCAGAATGGTAATTGCAGCAGGGTACGCTCTGCCACTAACAGCAGACATAAATGGTGTCATACCTCTTGCATCTCTAGTAAACAAATTTGTAAAGTTATTACCAAATAAGTCAAAAAAATGCTGAACTTGTAGTTGCAATAGAAAGCTATGAAATAGGCCAACTTAACCCTATATAAACAGGAATTAGTCTGGATAAGTGGGGCTGCTGAATATCGGAACATATAAAGTAATAACCAAAAAGATTTTTTTTTGTGCAACAGAGAACAAACTGGAAAGATTAAAAAATGAAGTTAGTATAGTGCATACATTAAGGAAAAGCAAGGAGTTGGCAATATAATAATTTACCATATATTTAAAACGTTGTTATGTTGATTAAAGGGAGAAACTCAACTAAGAGTGTCTTTTTTTACTGTAATAATATAAATAGTCTCTTCAGAAAAGAATTCAAATGTTTGACTCCTTATAATCTTGCTTCAGACCTCTTTGGCATCTTATAGCAAACCTTTATTGCACAAAGGGCAATATGTCTGTCAAAGTTCCAGAGTTTCCTGACACTTAAGTAGTGTCCCTTTGTTTCTTAATTCCTCCCTAGTATGAACAGTATATCAATTTTATCAATCTCGTCAATTGTGAAAATTTAGTTAAATTTCAAACCCTTGTCTTCTCCAAAGATATTAAGTTGGATTCCATATCATCTTTTTTCACAAAGAATCTCTAGACCTGGTGTTGATTTCTTATGATATACCCGTCTCCAATACAGCATTATCACAGTGTAAGTGCTTAGATTAAATATCCTCAAAAGGGATTACTTGAGAAGTAAAGTACTTTGTAATCCACGTATCTGTGTGCACACACACTCTTGCAGACATTCTGCAGTAATTCTAGTTTAATATACTGCTTCATATTTAAGATTTGCCTACATATTGAAGACATTTTCACCAAGATGTTCAGGAGTAAGTTTCAGCTCATGTATCATCTTCAGGGGACATTTGTTTTAAACAATGGTGGCACTTTTCATTTGAAAACCCTTACTTGGCTGATAGTAGCTCTCGAAGATAAGGTTGTAAAACGACACTATCACATAACAATTTCAGTATAAAATGAGCATTTGCCTTCCGATCCTTTGATTCCACTACAGATGGTTCAGTAGAAGGACCTGCAATCAGAAAAAATACTTCTGTGGAAACAATCCCCAAAGTGGGTCCCTATTAAGTGGGTCATTTAATAAAAGTAATTTCATCAAAGAGAGACAGCTGTATTAAGGTTACCATCAATCATCACCTTGACTATGACAGTCTTGGCAGTTTCAGCAACACATTATGCATTTCACTGTATATAAAGGATTGTCTATTTGAGAATATGAAATGTTATGAGCTGAAACAGATAGTAAGCACAATTTCATATTACTATTGACATTTTTACATGCACAACATTTGCAGGTAAATAAAAGTTTATGTGATATTCTATTGAGCTGTGCTTTACTTAAAAATAAGTTTAAGAATAGTGGTAAATGCTGCTTCAAGCCAAAGCTATCTGTATTTACAAAGGAGGAGCAGTTGGGATACACAAAAACCTATCAAAAGGTAGCTTTTGTGATTTCCCGCCCCCCAAAACACATCCAGATAAAGAGCAGGTTCTCACCTGGTATGGTGGAGGTGCTAGGTCCTGGGCCAGTGCCAGTCGCTGCTGTGGTAAGAGATCCCACAGCGGGGGCCAGGATAAAATCAATGTCACCATCTTTCAGTAAACAGAACAGGGATATTTTTTATATATTGATGTACATTCTAACAAGCTTTTTCTGCAGTATTCTAGCTATGCTATACACCTGTTTATATTTAACTGACACTTTGCTTTGAGCAAAAAGTCATGTCATTAGGCTGACATCAATATAGCCAACATTATAGCAAATACTTTAAAATGCTGTTGCCAAACTTTTTAAAACAAATTTTGTTTATTGTACCAGTTTGAATAAGTGCTTTTAAATTCTAAATCACTGCTTCCATACAAAAAGTACATCTGATTACTCCATTACTAACATTACTTACTCTTCAGGACATTTTTTAACATCTATACATTTCAGTCTCGGACACTAAATTTTAAATTCACCTTCAAAGTCATTAGTTTATTGTTGTTTTTTTAATCATGTCTAGTTTTACACTCACATCCATTGATACATTAGCAATCTTACCAGGATCCATTGCAGGAGGATCAGGAACCCAGCTGGGAGGAGCTATTGGTGGAGAAACTGGGTCCTGGTGATCACTAGATGAAGCTCCAGCTTCATGTCTACCCAATCCAGCTGCTCGCAAGGATCTTCTCATCATCTCCCTTAATCTCAAACTGAATACAAACCAAACAGAACAAATTCACTTCCACATTAAGTATATTACCTAATTATAAATCAAAGAAAAACTTTTGTAGTTAAAGGCAACCCAAACTTCTTTTATTCCCATAATTGTCTTAGGTACAGAGAAAACATCAGTCAAGCAATAATTTTAAATTTCCTCCCAACATTCTATTGTAGCAGGATATATTGGCCCTTTAAGGGCAGCTGTGGCCCAGTACTTCTGTTATTGGGTCTTGCTCCCTTTAAGAGGGAACAAGTGAGAAAGCAAAAGCTAATTGGGAAGCAGGCTAAAAACCACAGGACCTATTCCTCAGTAAGAAGAGACCAGCAATAAGGCAAAACATGGAGTTGGTCTCTCCATTAAGAGAAAGACTAAGGAGGAAAAGGCTAAAAGGAGGAGGAACCCCAAGGAGAGAAAAGTTGTTCAACCCCCAAAGGAGCAGGAGATGAAGGATCTGTTTAATGAAGAAAGGGCACACAACTATTATCCCCACTGCATCAACAGGGCTGAAGCTGGATACCCAGTGGAGGTTTGTGGGGGAAGATGGTAATAGAGGCCTGTGATGGAAGCAGAAGAAGGACACAGTGTCTGACAAGAAGTGGTGTGAGCTTGAGTCCTTGTATATGCACCTTATTTAGAAGTTGCAAGGTTAGGGATCCCAGAGAGAGTAAGAGGAAGGCTCCACCTTTTACTCCCCTGCATCAAAAGGGAAGACTGTATCGATATGGAGTAGAGGACTATGGCCCAGGGATGGCAAAGGACTGTTTTATTTCATGTGGATTTATGCTTTGGTGAGAGAGTCAAAGCACGAATATCATATAGGCTCCCCATCCAGTCAAAGGAAAACTGAGGAATGGCTCTGGAACCTGATACTGGAACGATAAGAACTCATTACACTTATCTATAAGTTCTGTCCTAAACATCTATCAATGTAGATACCTCTCAGATCTGAGAGCTTGTGGGGGGAAGCACTTAATAAAATTAGAGGTCTTGCAGCAGGCAAATAAATAGGGACACCTTGTGAGTTTATCAATGACTTAGAGCAACATAGGTACCATACCCCCCTCGCCCCCACCAATAGCAATGATTGGTTGGGGGGAAAAGGAGAAGAAGAGTTGAAAGAATCTAAGAAGCTTTCAGAATGGATTATAAAAGATATTAGGAATAATCAATTTCAATATTACTCATTTACTTTGCCATCACAGAAATTACACTTTAATAGATACAGACCACACACACTGAAATCATAAGCCTATCCTAGAAGTTTTCCTAAGATGTAAATATAAGTAGCAGTTTTCAAACACTTCTATAAAACACTTTTATTCCTAGACTCTTTAATTAATTGCAGTTTATTTGGTGCTTTATAAACCACAATTAAAGCCTCTAAATCTCCAGGCTGTAGATAAGTACTAATACCACTTCACAGTGGAGGAAGCTGAAGGCCAGAGTAGTTACGAGACATGCCCACAAGTCCATGCTAGAGCTAGAAACAGAACCAAGACTGTCTGGCCCTCACTCCTGCACTTTAATCACTACACCCCCATTTCCTTCTCCTTAATCTGACAACAGCACCCCATGATTTACTACAGATAAAAGGCAAAACAAACCTCTTCTAGGATAGGTTTATGATTTCAATGTGTGTGGTCTGTGTACATTAAAGTGTAATTTCTATGATGGCAAAATAAATAAGAATTTTGAAATTGATATTCCTAATATCACCTTTTATAGTTTCATTAACATACAAAGGGTACTCAAAGTACAAAACAAGCTTGTTAAAACCAGTTTATACCTTCTGCTGCTTGATGATCCTGCCCGATTTCCTGGACCATTACTTGATACTACTGAGATTGCATTTGCAATAGCCTCAACTGCAGAAAGCCTTTCAGCAAACGTATTCCTTTCAGAGCGCTCTGCTTCTGAAACATTAAGAAAAACATTTGGTGCCAAATTTTAAATAAAGTATCATTATAAAGAAAGGACTTAAAACAGGGATCTTAATTACATCTTAAAGACTCTCCTGCAAACTCTTAATTTGTTTGTTTTAAATTCAATTAGTCTTCCGGTTGCAAATTCCCTGGCTCTAGGAGGAAAGTAGCTGTTGATGGGAAATGATTGCATAGAATGTGCTTTATGATCTACAAAAACATGGATCTTATGTTTTTCATTTTGAAAGTGGTATCCAGATATTATTGCTATGTGCCTTATACACGTGTGTAATTATTGGAATAAGACCCTGGATTCAATGAATAAGGTATAGAACTATTAGTATCTTTATATACGACAACCCAAAGAGTCTTAAATCTCCTCTAATGGCTGTACAAACATACAAAGGGCATGAGTGCCAAAGGGAACCAGTATTTGAAATGTCACCGCAAAAGAAACCATTGCACAGCGCTCCCCTCTGAAATTCTCTGAGGTGTCAACCCAATAAAGTTAATCAAGATACTGATGACAAAAGAATATCGTGCAGGCAATTCTGACAAAAATCTATGGTACAGCAAATAGGATCAGCAAGACATTTTCATAGTTTTGTGTATTAGAAAAAAGTTTTACAAAAAGAATTGTATAATTTAACATAAAAGGTTTCTCTCAAAGAGAACCGTTTTGTCTGGATTACAACATTCCTGTGAAACAGCCAACCATCTAAACACAACACCACTGTGGTAACTAAAAATCCAGATATGACTAAGGGCATGTCTTCACTAGCAACATTAAAGCGCTGCCCCGGCAGCGCTTTAACGTGGCTGTGTAGTTGCGGCACCAGCGCTGGGAGAGAGCTGAAAAAAAAAAACCCCACCTCCACAAGGGGAATAGCTACCCTCTCCCAGCGCTGGTGCACTGTCTCCACTGGCACTTTACAGTGCTGAAACTTGCAGCACACAAGGGTGTGTTTTTTCACACCCCTGAGCGAGAAAGTTGCAGCGCTGTAAAGTGCCAGTGTAGACAAGGCCTAAGTCATTTACCTTTAGTGCTTCTATCTGGATAATGAAAAATTATATCTCCTATATTCTTCTATAGTCCTTTACTTACTTCCCTATGAAATATTCTAGTTCAGAATCTCATAAAATAGGCATCAATAAAAGTAATTAGAAATACTGTTCAGAGGGATACAAGCTAAAAACAAAACATTTCAAGTTAAGTAGTCAATGCAGTTTACAGGGTCATTTTCTTTGTTTATTTTATCCAGACAGAGAATGTGAAACTGCAAAAAATCACCACACTGGATTTATATTCCAAGTTAAAAAAATTCACAAAGCATTTCTGTACCAGCATTTAACTAGAATTGCTTAAGGTTTCTACTTTAATTTGATCAAAAAGTTCTGAGGTTACAGTATTGGTACTGTCTATATACAAAAGCATAATAGCATTATAAGTGGTACCGGTATTAACACGTTTATTTAACATTGCCTGACATTTTCCATTATAAGACCCTATTTCAGTTGCTTATAGCTTTGCCAAACTCGAACCATTTGGACTGAAACTTCATGCTGACTGCCTTAGGCTTATGTCTTTTTGAAAAGTTTAAGGCAAATTGGTTCAGCTATTTCTCAGAAAGAGATTAACAGCTTAGTCCAGGTTAAAATTTTTATAACTGTTTCATTGACAAGCCTAAGCACACCCTCAACAGAACCTGGAGTTGAACCCATTACTCCTGAGTCAACATTCCTTTGCTGCCATCCCTGTCTAGTGGCAGGTCAACAGAAGATAACCATCTACCACTACTGTTAGCTCAAGTAGGGAGGACTGTGCATGGGAACTAAAGAGCCCAACCCTACTTACGAGGAGGAGAGGAGTCAATATGACTCCACATGATGGAATTTTTATCTTTTTGGATTTTAAGTTCTAAGGAAACCTGGTAAATTACATTTAAAAAAATTGTCAAAAGAATGTTAAGGTTGCACAGTCAAGTATTCAAAATTAGGAAGAGACAGAATTAAGGTTGCCAGCCAATGCAATCTTATTTCAGTCCTCTTGTGGATATGCATTTTAATACAGTCTTTAATTACATGATCACATAGTATTTTTTCCCACAGGACCACTGCCTCAATCAGTGCACATAATGGACAGTGCTCTGGGAATCACTGTTGTGTAGTGAATGAGGCTTTCGTCTGTAGGACCCCTGCCTCATTTTTGCCACAGAAATTGGAAGGTGTGTAATGAATGAGACCGGGAACTGCAGGAAGAAAAAGGATGGTCTTGCAGTTAAGGCAGCTGTATGCCACTCTAGAGAACTGGATTCTATTTCTGCCTCCCCCAGTACCATATAGAAATTCTGTGGCAAAGTCACAAACCAAATTTTTCACTGGTGACCACTATGTGCTTGTTGGGTAACCAATCTGAGGCACATGGGGTTTGATTTGTGAGTGATCCACACTTCTACAACGGCAACTGAGATTAATTGGAGTTGTGCTCTGAACATAGAATGTTATAAATTGCTAAATACTTGGGGAAAAAATCAGGCCCATGGCTTCTCAAACTGGGCACCCAAAATTAGTTGGCACTTCTGGATTTAATCTCTATGCTTCAGTTCCTCATGTGTAAAATAGTGATACCACCACCCGGGCACCACAGTGGCATTATGAAGAGAAGTTCATTAATGACTGTAAAGAACCAAGATACTACTATGAGAGCACCACAGTAAAGCCCATGAGGAAGTTAAATCTTTATTCAGTGCAGGGTTTGGATGGTGTACAATAAATAAGGAATGGGGCCACACATTGAATGATGAGGATAAAAGAAATATTGAATAGCTACCCATTTGGTGAGCACTGTCCATCTTGTGCACTGAATGAAGTAGCCCTGTGGAAACAATAGTATGTGATCATGTAATTAAAGACTGTATCATAATGCATATGCAGAAGGGGGCTGAATTAAAATGGCAAGAGTAGTCTTAATTCTGGCATTTCCGATCTTTTGAGCATTTGACTTTGCAAACTTAATGTTCTTTTATGTGTATTTTTTTTGATGCAATAGTATTTTAAAAGCTATAAAAAATGTCAGTCCCTTACATCAACAAAAAGCCCTTTGTTCATATTTTCCAATACAGATTTCTCAATGGAAGAAATACCAAAGACACCACTAAACTTTAGACAAGTTATCTGATAATCCTGGAAAGAAAACTTAAACAACACTGTGTGTTTGTGTGTGTAAAAAAAAACAAACCCCAAGCTAATAGTGATATAAAGGGACAATCTAAAATTTTCAGATCTGGGTGCTCTAAGTTTGTCCTAAAACCATAGTTAGGCACCTAAATAAAGTAGTGCTGAGTTCTCACAAATCCCAATGAAGTAAATGAGAGCTGCGTAAGCTCCACACCTTTGAAAAGTTAAGCCATTTATTTTAGGTGCCACATTTTAGGCACTTGTTTTGAAAATTTTGGCTCTCCTTCAAGTATTCTAGAAACTATTAAAAAAAAAGGTAGTTTCAAAAAGGCTCTCATGATACATTGCTCACCCTCTTCCTCTTTAGTTTCTTTGTTACTGGTTGGGAAGCATACAGATACACAAGCATGTAGAATATTACGATTTCCATCACATCTGTGGCTGAGGAAAGTCTGCAGCATTTGTAGATTCTGATCCAAGACAACAGCTTGTTCAAGATTCATCAGGTATTGTCTGCAGGCCTCATAGTCACATCGGAGAATATGCTGCATTAAAGTCTGTTTCTGTGCTCAGAAAAAGGAAGAAAGACTTTAATAAAATGGAACAAAAAATTTAGACAGATAAACAATTCTAGATACTTCTGGCTTCACATTGAAAAATTAACATGCAAAAGCTTAAAGTCTAAGATGTTCACTAGTAACACAGGAAATGTTGAATACAAATATACCAGAACTTTTTTTTTTTTAATGTTATGATCTCAACATCATCTCATATTGAGACTGAATGTCATTTCTACTATAACCAAATAATAAAAGAAAATTAAAGAAAAAAGGACATGCTGAAATACCAATCATCTGTCAAACCTACAAAAGCTTGGCTCTTGGCATCATACCTGGTTACATCAATTCAAAAGATACAGGATTTCTATGATTCATGACTATGTAACACAGCAAAATTGTAGGACTCAAGGAACACAGCAAGTGGTCTGTATGAACTGACTTTTATAGGGTTTTCTCTTAATGATTGGTAGAAGTGGGATGGGAAGGTTGAAATTCTCTGGGTGATCCCTTTTCCTCCTAAAAATGTGGAGTACCCCAATGGTAGGTCTAGTATGATGTGCAGCAGTACAGCACACATGATAAATTCATCCTTTAGGGAATCTAACACACCAAGTAGTGGAGGTTCTTGTAGCATGTTTGGCATTTTGCATAAACTAGTGTGCAATATATTGTATAATTATTTATATGGTGCTATAGGTGTACATGGCACTCTACAGAGGATTCAAGCAAGAGGTCCTTCCCCAAAGATTTTATACGTCACAACGGTGGAGATTCACAAGAAATCACTTGTTCAATTTCTCCTTTAACATTTCCTGCACTAGTTCAAATTACAGGCAAACTGTAGTGCATTTACAGTAAAATGACAAACTTCTAATCACTTGAGAAAACACATACATTCATAATAGAATAATACAATATTATGCAAGAGACACTAGTCAATATTTTAAACTTTAGAAGCATTAATCCCTAATAATTCTAACAATTATAAATAATTTAAAAATCTCATACTGGAGTCATGTCAAAGACCTTTTGGTTTACTAAATAGTTGTGTTTGGTTTTCATGTTTATAAAACATTACTTAATTTAAAATGACAGAAGAGTAGAAATGCAATCGTAATTTAAAGAGTGAAATACCAAGATGCTTTAATTTACCATTTTTAAAAAAGCAGTTATTAAGATTACCATGTAGTAATGAAGTAAGCAAAACATAGAACATTACCTCTACAGCCATGATGATGATAGCAGCTTTCTTTTTGATGGTTGAATTAGCAGGAAGATTTGTTAAGGAATGAACACCCATTCCAAGACTACTAATAGGTGGAAGATCAAGCCAGTCGGGATCCCTTATTCCACCCATGCAATCTTTTGCCATTGGATAGATAGTTCCATTTCCATCTCTAAGAATAATAGGAGATTCCTACATAAAAATAAATTAATAACAGATCACCATTTTGCAAAATCATATAATATGTATTTCCACATTTAAATCCCTCCTAAAGACTCACTTCTGTCATGCTGCCCACAGGAAATCTAGTTGATTTGAAATTCATAACCTCTCTCTACCTCTTCTTAGATTGAGCTCCTGGGGCAAGAGCCACCCCTTCTTGAATGACTGGGAAATGCTTAGCACAGCACAGGCACTAGCACAAATAACACTTAATTTACTTTAAAAAATTAAAATTAAATCTTAATTAAAATGAAATATTTATCAATCCTAATACAACACCTGGATTTTGACACCATAATTTATTGAAAAATACTTACAAACAAACTTGAACGGAAACACTGAATTCTACACATTTTCAGAGTGCCTTTGACAATAAAATTTTCTTACATATCTGTACTAAAGATGTGGCTTGCAGAAATCACTGAAAATTATTTTTTCTGTTTCTTCTTCTAAACACCTATGTATGCCTGCAGATCCATTATTCACTTATGTCACCTAAGCAAGGCTACAGTCATGGACTGCCTACACAACTGTGTGCGTGTAATATAATCTCTCTATAGCCTTTATATAATAATCTGCATTAAGAAATAAGGGATATGCAGTTAAAGATGGCCCCCTTACATATGCATTACAATACTGAGTTAAGTCTGCATATTCAACCTTAAATTTGGGATTACCTGATTTATGTATTTAGCCATGCAAATTCTACATTGATTTAATTTACTTTTGACCCATAGTTTCTATTATTTTAAAGGGGAGAGGGGAATGACAAACTTAAAAGAAGCAGATTAACATCACAGGAGTTAGAAGCTCTGACTTGCAAAATATTGCAAACAAAGCATGCAAGTGCACAGCCAGACCTATTTGTCTTTACACCATCACTGGAACCTGATCAACCTTGATGCCACAGGAACCCAAAGAGGAGGGTCCATTTAATAAGATCGTGGGTCTGAGAAACATTCAAGAAGTTTCAGTCTTCTGGAAGTGCTTCAAGGGGACTTAGTAGTTCAGAATTCTCCTAAGACAGGATGTGCTGCACAGGCATGTGTCAGTGATTAAATGTTCATTAAGCTCCTTATAGACACATGCACTTCACATCCTATTAGACAAATGCTTAACAAGCTTAACACACACAGAGTATGAAATAGTTTTTGCTATTTTCAAATGTTCAGAAATGGGTCAGATGAAAACCTACTTTCCTCCTGAACAAAGCCATATCTGCTGTTCACTGAAGTCTTCTCTGAAGCAATGGCTGCTTCCTCTGTAATAAAAATATTTTGCGCCTTCCATCCAAGGATTTCAAAGTACTGATATGGGATTTTCAGACATGCTTAAGTGTTTGTTAAGTGCCTAACTTCCAATGAAAGTCAAGGAAGTTGGATGCCTAGCTCCCTTAAACCATTTAAAAATCCCAGCCCTTTCAAATCTTAAACAAGTTTTAGAAAAAGGAAGCAGCATTCCCATTTTACAGATTAGGAAAACTAAAGCTCTGAGAAGTTAAACGACTAAAATCTAACAGGGAAATTAACAAGAGAACCCAAACAAACCTGTCCAGCTGTAAAAATGGCAACGCTTCTCTCATTCTGACCCAGGAAAGCAATGCTGCTAGTGGGGAAGTTATTTTCTTGCTCAGCTTTCCCTGTAGCAAGGTCAAATATGCAGTATCGAACCCAGTTCCCAGTCTTCAAGACAGCATGCACTCCTTCATGGGTACATGAATAAGAAAGAAAAACATTAACCTCTCTCATTGGTGGCATTCTGTAACACAACAGAACACACATACAAACTATTGCATCTAATAATTTGTTAATCAACGCAGACAAGCATGCACCTGAATTTGACAGTTGAAATGTTTTCCACAAGAGGGGCGGGGGGAAAACACTTCTTAGAAGTGCAGCAGGGTAGTTTACAGAAAACACTTACCTTTTGAATCTACATTCACTGCTAGAATCTCTGTTTTTTCAGGAATACACAGCTTTTTGGGAGTCCTTTGGAAGCAGTCTGGAACTTTTGGAGTCCCGCCAGTTTTGACTACCTAAAAAACAAGAGTAAGATTTCAGTATGCAAACAGCATGAGGAAATTTCAAATTCCTGTTTTTTATTTCTCCATCCAACATACCTGGAGTTCATCTATTCTGAGCAGCCTACAATCTTGGAGAAGGGAAGAAGGATCGGGATCTGAACCGGAGCTGCTCTGACAGTTTGTATTACTGGATGTGCCTGGAAATTTCACAGCAACATAGGCACCGTCCACTTTTAGTACCTACAAGCAGAACACATTAAATATAATTGATGTGTTACTAAAAACTTTGAGATAAAGCTGTAAAGTAGTTTTATTTACCCTGAACCTTTTTATCAGAGCACAGAAGTTTGGTCTGAGATGGTACGTCTTAACTCCAAGGCCCCTAGTTATTAGGGTCATTTTTCGTCTGCAGTTACTAGGCTCCTGTGCACCTATTTGTTTAGGTGGATTTCTTAACGCCTACCCCATATCCAGTATTTGGAATGACTACGAAAAGAAGCCACATGACAGTAATCGGTGAACAGCGTGGTCTTACTTATCTGACCCAATCCAATCTCAAAAATAGTTTACTACTAAAACTCGAGTTTAAGGATGTAGCCACGCGTACTCAGGAACATTTACACTACATCCATCTTTCCCCTTACAAAGGGGTCGAAAGCCACTCAGCCACTTCTTCTGAAATTCTAAGTGGAGCATCTCTTCAAGGGCAAGTACAATATATATGCATGACTGGTATGCTTGCCAAGTAAGTTCCTC